TTGGAAATACTTTTAATTCAGAATTGGTTGAATTTGATCCTTTGCTAAAACCCAAAGAAGTCACTTTAAATGTAATGGCAGTGTTTCTGATTGCAATTACAGTGCCTTTAATGGTTTAAAAAGCTCTATTTCTAACTAGATGTACCTAAGCTTTTTCTTTTCTCCCTTTTGAATGTAAACTTTCTCATAAAAGTCCTTCTTCTACGGTGCTAATTTGACAAAACACTGCTGTAACTTTCATTTTGTCTCCAGCTGAGCCAGTGACTGCAGAGGAGTGTTGTGTTGTGGCCTCAGCTCAGTGGAATGGTAAAGCCAGTAGGTGAGCAGTTGCTGCACTCCGTCCTTTGTTCTTGCATGGCTCTCTACTAATCTCCATAAGTAATATAGGGAGCAGCGTCCTGGAGCTGTGCACGTTAGCTCTTTCTAACTTGGCTAAAAACTCAGCAGTGCAGTGATTTTCAGCACCTATTGTTGTGTGAGAAAAGCAGCCTGAAGTTTATCATGTTCTTTCCCCAAATGAAAAGAAGTGTGTGTGAGAAAATGCCATTGCTAATGTTTATCCACCATGTAAAACACAATATCAGAATAAATCTTATGTTTGTCTTGGATTCTAGCCAAAACAGAACTGTCAACAAAAGAAAAATATAAGGGGTCGAGAGGGAAGGTTTAAAAAGAAATTAAAGGCTCTTTTGTTTTCTTTTGCTAAATACTGTCGTGTGAAAAGTAGTTTTAAGCATATTTACATGTCATGTGAGCTACTGCAAACCCCTAAACCTTCCCTCTCACTCAAGACACACACACATTATATATTTTGAAACCATGATAATTTGGAGAAGAGCGCTAGTATTTATATATGGATATTGGAAGGGTTTTTTTGGGGGGGGGAGGGAGAATTAATCTCATTAGAATTAAGAAATGCACAAAAAGTTTTATGATTCAGAGAAAAATAATAGTACGGTGCTTTCATTTCCAAAGCACTGTACAAGCAACTGATTATCTTCGCATAACATTTCTGTGAGTTGGGTATTAACTCAGTTTTACAGCTAAAGAAACTGAGGCACAGATATTAGGAAGCAAATAATCTTTAGTCACTGCACAAGTGCACAGAGACTGGGAAGAAATCCTTGCTGCTTCTACCTTTCCTGTGCCTGTTAAGGGACCGTAATAATTTAGCTATCAGGGCCAAATCTAGTTTCTTATTGACTTCAATGACAGATGGATTGGATTCTACACAACATCCCAGAGATGACACAGTGAGTCCTTAGTACAGATAGAATTCGAACTCATTACTTTCTGTCCCTAGCACTTGAGCACAATTTGCTCCTTCTGGGCTTGTCTACAATGGGGGGGCTTATACATAATATGGGGAGAAATAGTTAGGACTCTTGGGACAAGAGGAGAAGAAAACAAACAGCACGACAGATGCGAATTCTGATGTTTAATGTACTGATGGAAGGTAATGATAATGAGAAGCATAGTATTAGAACCTACACATCATAGAACCCTAAGCTGTGTTTGGGTAGTTGAGCCCTTGCTTAGGCCTGGTCCTGCAAAGAGCTTAGAAAAATCTATAACTTTACTCAAATGAGTAATTCCATTTACTTCATTTTCTTTGTAAGACTTGGGCTTACATCTCCTGACTTAGCCACTAAATAAATTGCCAAGGGAGGTGGTGGAATCTCCCTCTCTGGAGATATTTAAGAACAGGTTAGATAGACATCTGTCAGGGATGGTGTAGACGGAGCTTGGTCCTGCCTTGAGGGCGGGGGGCTGGACTCGATGACCTCTTGAGGTCCCTTCCAGTCCTATGATTCTATGATTCTATCTTTCACTTCTTCAGTCAGTAGATCAGATGAGGATGTATCTGCCTTTCTTGCTCCCTTGCCTTTGCATGGGTCTCTTGACAAGAAAACTCAGGTTAACATATTGTAATGTGACTGGTGATAAACACATCTAGGGCCTGATCCCAGGTGATGTGTAGCATCTTCAACTCCCAATATCTGGTCCAGGAGAGTTGGCAACCTAGCAACAGCTGGAGGCTGCTGCAGAGTCCCAGGCCAGCAGTAGAATACTGAGCAGCAACAGAGCCTGCAGAACCAGTGGCATGGATGCTGGGGACGGTGGTCATCTTCGGGGTTGCGGGGCCGAGAGGAACCCAAGGGGGCTGCCCAGAGGCTGGGACCTGGGGCTGGTGGAGCTAATGGCAGGTCGACAGTAGGGCTGGGCCCTGGGTGCGAGGACGCTGGGTGCATAACCTGGGGGTGCTGCAAAACCCCTTGCACCACTATTTTCCATGCCTCCTGTGCCTATGGATGTTAAAGTGCTATGTTTTAACTTTCTTACTATTCAGCACATGGTCATGAGCTGGTATCTTTGACAGTGAAAAACATCTGAAAAATATTCTGGGGCTTATTTATTTATGTATTGGCAAAGACTAGGGGCTTGAGTTTGATCTCACTTATACTCATGTACTTATATAATGTCAGGGGAGTTACTTCTCATTTACACTAATGTACGTAAGAGGACAGTCAAGCTCCAGGAATTTATCTGTGCATTTATTCACAGAGCTGTAGGAATGCTTACACAATGGTGTGGGAAAGCAGAGCTGAATGCTAAAAGAAAACGAGAAGTCCTGTGGCACCTTAAAGAGTAACAGATTTATTTGGGCATAAGCTTTCATGCACAAAGAAACATGTCATCTGGCATGAGTCTCATAACAACAAAATGGCTTAAAAAAGTAAAATGAGTAGTAAGGAGTTAATTATGTCAACAACAAAAACAGGAGAACAATCCCAAAAATTGAGTTCAGAGGTCTATTTCAAAAGGCAATAGCAAAAGGACATTTTGCAGCCCAAGTTCAATAAACAAAACAAAATGGCTTTTTGTAGACTCTCATAGGGACATATAACTGCCATATTGGGTCATATTGTGGTTCATGTTTCCCAGTATCCTGTCTGTGACTGTGGCCCACACCAGAGCTTCATGGGGAAGGTACAGACGAAGGCAGTTATGGAGTGATCATCCTCTGTCTGCCACTCAGAACTACTCATAGTCAGAAATTTAGGGTCACTCCAATAGGGGGCTGCATCCCTAACCATCTTGGACCTATTCATTATGAAATGATGTATACAGTTATTTTTAGAACCTAGTTTATTTTTGGCCTCAATGACCGCCCATGGCAATGAGTTCCACAAGATAGTAGAAGTACTTTTTCCACAGTTGTGTGTATTAAACCTGCTATCTATTAATTCCATCAAGTGATCCTTGGTTTTTGTGTAAAAGGGTAAATAACAGTTTTGTTCACTTCTCCCACACAATTTATGATTTTATAGACCTCTATCACATCCTCCCCTCCTTTGTCTTCTTTTTTATAAGTTGAAGAGTCCTAATTGTTTTAGTCTGTCATCACATGGAAGGCGTTTCGTACCCTTGATCATCTTTGTAGTCTTTCTCCCTTTTCCACTGTATTCTTTTTTCAGCCTACAAATATTAAAGGTTAGGATTTATATAGTGGCAATATTTTATGCTTATTTTCTATCCCTTCTGAATGGTTCCTAACATTCCATTAGCCTTTTTGACCACAAAGCTTGCACACTGAGCTGAAGGTTTCAGAGAATTATCCACAGTGATTTCCAGTTCGCTTTCTTGGGTGGTAACCACTAATTTAGAACCCATCGAGACTCAGAAGGCCTCTTATGGGGAAGTGCTGAGTGCCTATTGAGTGTAACTACAGTTGAAGATGCTTGACAGTCAGTGGTACTCTGCAGATTTGGTCCCCTGCAGTCTGGCTCAAACACAGACAGCACCATTCAGACCTTACATGATTTGCTGAACACTCTTACTTGAAGCACTACATTTTTATTATATTTTTAAAATAGGAAGGCCTCCGAGAAAGAAGTATGTTCAAAGATGGAATTGAGTGAGAAGAATGACACCATTATAGGCAGAAGGAAAAGGGAAAGTTTCAAGAATAAGACTGGGGCATGGAAGAAGAGAATAGTAAAATTGAACATTCAGGAAAGAGGCTTGGGAGGAATGTAGGAAGTGAGTAGGGAAGTAAATGGAAACAGCAGATGTGGACAGGAGCTAGTTGTACAGTGAGGATAAGAAGCTTGACAAGCAAAAGGAAGCCATTGAAAAGATTTGAGAGCAGTTAGAGTAGGAGATTATTTTATTGGTAGCCTAATCACAAGGACAAACTTTAATTTAGATGCCACATTATTACTCAATGTGATGAATAAGGGGAAGGAATAAACAAACTCCTAAAGTGAAATCCTGGGTCCGCTGATGTCAATGACAAAATTCCCACTGATTTCAGGGGCCAGGTTTTCACCTCTAAGAAACAAAGAGCTTGTTGTCACACACATATTAGTGGTATTTTTTTTAAAGACAAATGGAGAAAATACATGGTATCAAATTCTGATTTCACACTGGTTTTAGACCGTTCCAAAACTTTATTGAAACCAGGGGTGTTACTTCTAATTACACAGGTATATTTGAGAAAAAAATGAGGCCCATAATAAATATGATCCAAAATGTCTCCAAAGAGATTAGTTACCCCTTTTTTCCTCCATTCAAAATGAAAAATAGATTTTTAACAGAGCCTAGTTATTTTTAATTGCAATTCATATGCATGTGCAGTATGTGCACAACACATGTAGCAGACAGCTTTAAAACGACACAGATATGCAAACAATTTCCATTTGGGCACTCTCCTTTGTACAGACTTCACAGTGAATCCGAACCATTTCTTTGTGACCAGCTTTATTAATCCTAATCTTTTGATCAGCAGCACTCTGAGGAAAAACCACAAATATCCCACAGTGCAAAGATAAGAGATGTGGTTGCATCAGTATGGTGCGTGCTGGTAGCTCTGCTTGAATTTTGTACTTCTGGGGGCATGTGCTTCACATCTACAGTGAAACCAAAGGGGTTGAAATAAGAATGGCTTTCAGAGTGACAATACGAAAATAACCCCACCATTTTTCTCTTTCAATTAGTAGCAGAGATGAAGAAATGACTGCAGTTAAGAATGACAATGAGGACGTATTCATTGCTGCACGACTCCAGCAGGCTCTGGCTGAACTAGATGTCAGTTTAGAAGGTAGGGAACTATGTCATCTCTGAGCTACAGAAGTAGTAAGGGACAGTAAAAATATACAGGGTCAGTTTCTGCCTTATGCATGTGCAGTGTTCTCATGCAAGTCACCGGGAGCTACACATATAGCTGTGAGCAAAATTTGGCCCCCACCATCTGAATTGCTGCTATTCTAACCCACATTATTTTGTTGCTGGATTAAACTGGTATCCTTCAGCTGCTATTACCTATTTATCCACATATTTATATGGACGTCATTGTATATGAGTGCCTGCTACCAGAAAGGTCACACTTTATGGGCCACATTTTCTGCTGGCATATTTTCATCGACTTCAGTGGAGTTAGGCATGTAGAGAATTTGGCACTATGTTTCTGATCGATGTGCAATATGTAGCTTGCATCTTTGCAGCAGGATCTTCTCATTTTACAGCACATAAACTGCTTTAATACTGTCAGGATCAAATGGAGAATAGGGTTGGGAAAACGGTTTTAAAAAGTAACTGTGAAACCATTAAAAATCCTAGTAGTTATATGCACTGCAGATTCTGCAGTATAATCCTGAGGATTATACTGCAGAGCCCACCGTGCCGCTGGCTCCCCAGGAGTGGGGTTGGCAGCCAGGTCCTGGTGTGCACCAGGAGCCAGCTTATAGTATAATATAATATAGTATAGGCTGGGTCACCGCACACACCAGCGCCAGCTGCCGGTCCTACTTCTGAGATCTGGCTGCCACTCCACACTGTGGGCTCTGATACTGGGAGTTTATAAGCCGACTCCCAGTGTGCACTGGCTCCTGGCTACCAGTCCTGGGGGCCTGACAACACCGCAGGTTCTGCAGAAGAAGCTTTGTACTGCAGAGCCCACAGCGCGGGGTGGCAGCTGGCTCCCCGGGAGCAAGGCCAGCAGCCAGAGCTTGCACACACCGGCCAAGAGTTTAACCATAACAAAATCCAACCAGCTGATGCTTCTTGGTTAACCATTTGAATGGTTACACTCTTACATCCCTCATGGAGAAGGGGGGGATGTTTTCTATATGATATTTCAACCACATTACTACATGCAGTTTAAAGTTATAACATTAACATTCTGACCAGTTTAGGTAAAAATAGCCTGTTCTTCACAAAGAAATACCCTACTTCCTAACCACCTGTGATAAATCAAAATATCACTCAATTATGTGTTTCGATTCAAAATGATGTGAACCCTTCTTTAATTAATTGAATTAAATTCATTTAAATAATTGAAAGAAGAAATAAATCCAATAGCTTCTTTCACAATGAAGCTGTTACATTCCTGGATGATGATAGGGGGCAGGATGATAGAAGAAGAAATGCAAGTTCTGTTTCTTTGTTGGCTTCCTTGAAGTAGTCCCGCAGACAGGTTCTTTTATTAACTAGGTTTAAAAATAATAATTTAGAGATGTTTTCTGTTTATTCTGAAATGTTTCTCCTTTGGAGTATTGCAATAAAGAGTTTGTCGCTGAAACATTAGTGAAAGTTAAGGTATAAACAGTAGACTAAATTCTACCCTCAACTACACATGTGATTCCCTTTGAATACATCGCGAGGCATGTACATGTAACATTGACAGACCCCAGTTGTCAGCAGGTGGAATTCAACCTGGATCTTTTGGTGCTTAGCACATGAGCCAAAAGCCACCTGGCTGGTAACTAACACTGTAGAGCAGATTTATTCTCTCTAAGTGGTCTTGATACCACTAGATGGGACAGTATACCACAGGAGGGGAGTGGGTTACACACACACAATAGGCTGATGGTAATAATCAGCTAGACAATAAAATATATGCATGCAGATAATGATTTTTCTTACAACAGGAAAATGTTTGCTTGTGAGCCAGGTATGTCCTGAATTATGTAATTGTCATCAAAATCCATATTTGTTATGATTGTCTAAACCATCTTTGAGTAATAGACAGTGAGGTTGCAAACGTGACCAATTTGTGAAAGCTTTTGTTTGTATTTTTTGCAGCAATGGAAGGTATACACTGTGAAGCAGATAATGATTCTGTGGCAGACCACACAAATGGGGTGTCCAGCCCGCATTTCATCAATGCTGGTGCTGCTCAAGATACTGCTTTTGTTGTTCCAGTAACAAACATAGATGATATCTTGGATGTTAACACCATAGGTCCAATTGAAGATGAAGAGAATATGTTACTCCCTAAAGAAAATGATAAAGAAGCTATCTCAGCTGATTCCATTACTTTATGGAACTTTACAAATAACAGTGCAGGGTCTTTTGATAAGAAACAGGTAAATGACATGTCCCTAAGTATATCCATGGACTTAATTCACCAGCAGTCCTCTGAAGATGTATTTAATTCCCTGCATGCAGAACAAAAGCGAGAGAAGTTTGGATCTCTTACATCTTTGTTTGAAAAGAGAAATGAAAACAACCTGGGGCTGGAAAACACCTATAAAAGTGGTGTAAGTTCAGAAGAATGCAAACCCACACAGATTTCTTCTCCTCTCACGCCTGTGACTGAAATACAGATAGCAAGAGAGAAAACAAATCCATATAATGAACAAAATAGTCAGGAAAAAATCTTGAACAAAATGAAAACAGAATTGGAATTCAAGCCCACATCAAACAAAACCACTGAGGAAAAAAAAGATGTCTTATCCCCGCGCCAGTGGGGTCATCGTGTCCCTAGTTCTGTAACAAGCTATGAACCTAAAGTAGGCCTGACAACCTTTAAAGTTGTTCCTCCCAAGCCTGAAAAAAAATATTTTGATAGAGGGAATTCCTTCACCACTGGTGCCCTTAAGATAGATGACTTAGGCAACCTGATCACTCCAAATGCTGATAAGAAGAACACATCAGATTTTTCTTCCAATGAAACTGAAGAACCTCATATTGGGAGAGTAAAGGCATTCTGGAGGGAAAACTCTATGGAAAAACAATCTGACAAGTCTATAGAATATAATTCTAAAAAGTCAATAGCCATTGTGAGCTCAAAACCCTTTAATTCAAAATCTGAAAGCAAACCTATCTCTCTAATGGATTCAAAACCAATACCATCACAAACAATTACGTCAAATGTGGCTGAAAGGCATTTTGAGCTTGAAAGAATCAAACCACCTGTTCCAGCCACACAGTCTCAGGTAAAAACATCAGCATTCCCAACAATTAACAAGGACGAGACAGAGTTCCCATTTTTAAAGCCTTATAAAAGAACTTCAAGCCATTATGTTGCATCGGCCATTGCAAAACGTCTTGATCCACTTACATTAAAGACTGATTTGACAGAGAAGCATGTTAAAAATGAGAATAAACATGAGGAAACATTGATAAAAATTGGAGCAGAACCTCTCCCCAAAGAATGCATTACTGTGGCCAAAAACAGCCCTAGGGCAGTGAAACCTGCAGAAATGAGAGACTCTCATTCAGATATATTTACCTGCAGTCACAAAGCATCGAATGGCAGGTTGACACTTGGTGATAATTTTGCCATGGAAAACAAAACAGTGACTATCAAGTCACTGAATCACGTTACCCCTGTAGGTTTCTATAAACGGAGCATCAGTGTACCGCTTACTAAATCCTCTTCAAAAGATAACTACCCTGCAGAAAGCAATCACAGTTTTAACAGCAGACAAAGTATAGTTGATAAAAACACACATGCTTTGTCTGATCAGAAAGGTGAGAAGACGGACCATGCTAATTCTTCCTCATCGCTCACATCACCCAATCTCCCAACATCTACAGCCTCTTACAGCTCATTATCGAGGTCCACTAAATGGCATCCTGCTAACAATATACAAACTAATTCTTTAAAAGCATTGTCAGAGTTCAATATTACACCTGTGAATAACCACATCAGTTCTCAAAGAGACAAGAAGCCTGCTGTTCCCCTAATAAACGATATACATAAATCTGATGATATTATACAAACTGATATTTTTGGGCCAAAGAAGAAGTTCAAACCTGTTGTCCAGAAACCAGTTCTGAAAGATTCATCCCTGCACAGCACATTAATGGAAGCCATTCAGACTGCAGGAGGAAAGGAAAAACTACGAAAGGTAAAGTGGAGACTTTATTTAGGCCATTGAAACTGAAAAAGTCTGTATTTACCAGAGTAGACACCAGCTTATTCTATACCTGGTACTCTTGCTCATGTGCTGAAGTGCATGTACTATTTAAAAAACTTATAATAGCAACATTCAGAATTGACCGCTGGCTATTCCTCACATCCTGTATATTGTTATACAATAGCCTAGCCGCTTGTGC